TCGAGCTTTCTCAGGCAACGGGCATTGCCCGTCAGCCCGGGGGTGGGCGGAGTTGCCCGGCCGAGGGTCCCTCCCTGTGGATCGGGTATGGGACTCGCGATCCCTGCTCCCTGCGAGCCGTGCGGCCCTGGGTGCGGGGCAGCGTGAGGGCGAGGAGGGAGAGAGAGGCGGCGGGGGCCCTCTGAGGAGGCCAGGCTTGGAGCTCCAGGCAGAGGGGTTCCTAACCGGGAGGGTCTGCAGGTGCCCCTGCAGGTGGGGCCCGGGGGCGGGTTCGGCCCCACCAGGATGGTGGGGGAGACAGAGCATCCACTTTCGGGTTCAGCTAAGCCCCTGGAAGGTGGGGTGTCGCTTCCTGGGATGGGGGTGCCGAGTTAGGTGAGGAACGTCCAAGTGCTGTTGGGCCAGGTTGCATTGGAGGCAGTTTCATCACAGACTGTCCGGAAGGCAGGGTGGGGGGTGGACACATGGGCCTTCAGTGGGTGGCGGGCGCTCTCTAAGGCCTGGCTGGAGAGAAGGGAGGCCCGGGGAGGGCTCGGGCCCAAGCTGGGGTTAAGAGGGTGGCCCAGGGGTTGAGCATCAACCTATGAGCGGGAGGTCGGGGTTCCATTCCTTGCCAGGGCACGTGCCGGGGTTGCGGGCTCAATCCCAGTAAGGGGCGTGCGGGAGGCAGCCCATCAGTGATTCTCTCTGGTCATCATTTCTCTCTCTCTCCCTTCCTCTCTGAAGTCAATAAAAATGTATTTTTTTAAAAAAAAAAAAGAGGGAGTGGCCCTGCCCCTGGGCGCCCTCAGTCCCCCCGCAGGGTGCCCCAGGTCCTGCCAGCCTCTGCTGACTAGGCAACCCTTTGTCACAAGTGGGAACTGCTGAAGTCCAGGCCAAGGTCCCTCCGCCGGACACTCCCTGCCCCCACAGCACAGGCGCTGCCCTCTGCCCAGCCCAGCCCCATGCTCCCCGGGCACAGTCAGCAGCACCTGGCCTCACCCACTCAGGACCCTCCTGTGGGAGGTGGAGGAGGAGCTGGGGCTCCTGGCGGTGGCAGGGCGTGGGACGGGACAGGTGAGAACCTGGTGCCTGTGTTGGGTGGGAGGAGGAGTTTAGATGGAGACCAGCAGGCCTGAGGTCAGACCACGGGCTGGGCCTAGCCAGTCGAGAGCCTTCTGGGTCCAGGGAGGGATCCCCTCCCCACCATGCAAGTCCCTGGGTGTCAAACCCAGGAGCTGGAGGGAGACCACGGAGTCCCCCTGCTGGCCCAGCCCCCCCTGCACCGCCCCAGGCCCTGAGCTGGCTGAGCCGCAGGTGCAGGTGCGCAGGTGCAGGTGCTCGTGGTGGGGAAGCCCTGCGGCTCCAGGAGCTCAGGAGCCGGCCTCTTCCCGCCACGGGACTCGTTAAGTCCTTTCTGTCTCTAAGGAAGAGGATGGAGGAGGAAGCCAGGCGGCAGCAACACCGTAGGGAGGCCAGTGTGTGCGCGCACCTGTGCCCACGGTGTGCACCTTCTGTACACCTGGGGGCGGCAGGTGCCTGGCGGGCTCACACGCCCGGGCAGGGGGAGCAGACGCCGAGTCCAGGCCCCCTATGTGGGCATCACCTTTGGTCTATGTCTCCGCACGTGACCCGTCCAGGTTGGCGTGGTTAGGTGTGCCGCAGCTCCAGGTGGGCGAGCCTGTGAAGGCTCGGTCCCGTGTGGCCTCTGGGTGCTGCTGGGCCTCCTGCTCCCTTCCTTGGTGACACCCTCCTTTCGGGAACACATCCGGGCCACAGAGATGCCCAGGTGTGCCACGGCCGGTCACTGGGAGGCAGGGAGCGTCTATCTGCCCGGCCTTGGGAGCAGGTGTGAGGCCAGAGGGGTGGGTGGTTGGGTGGGGGCCGGCTGAAGGCCCGGGAGTCGGAATGCTCTGGCCCGGCAGCCAGGGTGAGGGTCCGCAGTGGGGAGTCACCCCCGCCGGCCCCCCTGATGGAGGAAGAGGTTCTGAAACCACCCCCAGCCCATGCCCAGATCTGGGGGAGGTGAGTTCTCGAGGCATTGGCCAGCCCTACCCCCAGACATACCAAGAATGCATTCAGGGGTGGGGCCCCAAAGGAGTTGCACACTCTTGGGGGTGGGAGGGGCGCTAGAGAGGAAACAGAAAGTGGCCCCTACAGGTGCACCATCTTCCTCCCTGTTCAGGCGCCTGTGCCCTATGGCGCCCACCTGTGGCAGGACGGGGTCCTGAGGTGCTGGTGCTCAGAATGCAAAGGCTGAGAGTGGAGTCTCGGGGTCCACCTGGAGCCCTGGGGGTGCTGCTGCCCCTGAGCTCCCGTTCCCCAGGCGGCCCTGTGGGTCGTGTGCACTTCTTATACCTGAGCCCTTTGGTGCCTGGCCTTTCGTTTACCAGTGGTTCTCAACCTTCCTCATGCCGCGACCCTTTAACACAGTTCCTCATGTTGTGGTGACCCCCAACCATAAAATTATTTTCGTTGCTACTTCATCACTGTAATGTTGCTACTGTTATGAATCGTCATGTAAATATCTGATATGCAAGATGTATTTTCATTGTTACACATTGAAAATCATTAAAGCATCGTGCTTAATCACAAAAACAGTATGTCATTATATATGTGTTTTCCGATGGTCTTAGGCGACCCCTGTGAAAGGGTCGTTCGACCCCCAAAGGGTCGCGACCCACAGGTTGAGAACCGCTGGTTTAGACCCTAAAAGTAGTTCTGTGGTGCCGTCCAGTGTGGCTCCGTGGCTGAGTGTTTACCCAGGAACCAAGAGGTCGCTGGTTTGATTCCTGGTCAGGGCACGTGCCGGGTTGTGGGCTCGGTCCCCAGCAGGGGGCGTGCGGGAGGCAGCCGAGCGTCAGAGCCCACCAAGGGCCCAGGTCTCAGCTCTGGGATTCTGACCTCCGGGGAGGAGCCACCAGGGGCTGAGCGAGTGGGAATTGAAGGGAAGCAAACAGGAGGCCTTACAAGAGGATGTCACGCTCCAGGCGCGGGCAGGGCAGCGCGGCCTTGCGGGAGGGCCCGCTTCCTGAGCTGCACCCTCAGACCTGCTGGTGGAGGAGACAGCACCGTCTCCAGCCTCCTCCACACACCAAACCTGGCGACCAGTGGGCTGCACGCCTCAGTGTGAGCAGACGCCAAGAGTATCCAGAAGAACGACCTCCCGCCAACCTCCAGAGCTCACGTGGCCAACGCGGCGCCTGGTAAACTCCGTGTCAGCATTTTGCCTTCAGGACGCGGTGAGCCACCAGGGAGCGGCGGTGTTTGCAGTGCGGCTCAGGCTCATACACATCGAGAGGCCCAACAAGTAAGGGAGGCGAGGCCTTTCCATCCAAGGCAAATGCACAATCACAGCCAAACCCAAACGGCCCAGAATCTGTGAAAGGGGCGTGTCAGGCGGCGCGAGGGCGAGGCCGGAGAGCGGAGAGCGCGGC